CATATCATCTTTTAGTCATATCACTGCATGGCAATTTCAAGTTTTGATTAAGAAGTTGTTCCTGGCCTTCTTGGGTACACACAACTGCTTTGAAGTGTAATTTGCAGGCACCTTTAAAGGCGAAAAGGGAAGCATCAAACAAAAAGAACCTACAGCCTTCTATTTAAAAACAAAGAACTATGATTTCCATACACTCTTTTTTTTTCCTAAATACTTGACTCATCATTCTGTAACACCACTGGCAATACTGCAGAAGTTCCTTCCCTGCAGAGTGGCCCAGGCACTCATATGTCCCTATGGTGGCTGCCAACAGCAGTAAATAAGCTTTCCAGTCTTACACTGATGCTAAAGATCTAGCTGTTTACAGAAGAGCTTCCCAAAGATTCCTCAAGTGCTTGCAGAGATCTTTACTGCTGCAAGGTGTTACCTAAAGTCTTTCGCACTTAATCCAAAGCCCAACAAACTCCACAGAATTCCCATTAATCTCAGAAATATTTGGATCAAGTTACTAGTGCTACCCTACTTTATAAGGGTACACCTTCATACCTTTGGCTGCTCATACTTATGTCACTATCATATGTTTTCATTTTAGGCAAGGAGCACAATTAAACAAGCCAAGACAATTTTACTTGGTTTTCTATTTTTGTTTTATCAAAGCTTCCCCCATCTCAGTAATGTCTAAGTCCATCTGCATTTAACATCTTCAGGCCTATGTTCAGTTCATTTGGTCAGGTGTCCTCTGCCATTTTTGGTGCAAATCAGGAAATGCCCCATTTATGTTTTGAAAACTAGCCCCCTTGTTAACTTTGGGTTTAAACAAAGTACTCTTCAAATATTTGCTACATGCATGAAGGAAGACCTTATTATCACATTTTAATGCTACTGTAAATGGATCCCTGTTCCTTGCACGGCATCTCAGACCAGTGGGTGCATAACATACTGGAGAATTACCCCAGGAAACTGAAGACTGATCCATCGAGGTCTCAGCAGTGAAGGTCACACAGCCAGGTTCCAAACCTTGACCTTGGCTGACTGGGTGTCAGTGCCAACATACCAGGCAAGAGGAGAGTGGGGGGAAGGGTGAGCAGACATTGGAGACAGATGGCCTAATTCATCACACACCAGAAATAAATAAAAAAAAAAGCTGTTCCAAGCATTACACATGCAGCAATGATTGTAAATTCCACAACTGTGGAGGGCTGCCAAGCCATTATACACACACCCATACTGCAGTCACTGTGTATAGCTCCTGAAAGGTGAAATCAGGAGAAACTGCAAAGCATGAAGGGTGCTCAGCTCTCAGGAAATTGGTTCATAAAATGATTATCCAAGCCCTGGTGGAACAAACAGCATGCAGAAGTTAGGGACTGATGTGATACTACAGTTTATTTATTTATAAACAATCCACTTTTGCAATGCATAACTAAGTTATCCATGGATGTGATTCTAGATATTATATACCTAATTAGCTTCTTTCAATAATATTTTTTTTTTATTTTGCTCTTAATAGGTTCCCAGTTCGAGCTACTTGATTGCGTGTCCTGCTAAATAAAGTTCCCTAGTCACCAAGCAGAGTAGCTCATAGGAACTGGCAAGGCTGGTGACACTGCTTTGGGATGATGGAATGCAGACCAAATGGAGCTTTCCCCAGACCATGTGCTTTGGTTTCTCTGCAAAGAGAATGATGGAGCATCCTAGATGCTGCCTTGGAATTTTTGGCATCTAGAAATCCACAGAGAGCAAGGAAATAGAGTGGCATCAGTAATGCTGTTTCTAGCATAGGCTGAGTGCTCAAAGTGGTTTTGTGAGCACAGCTTCCCTACAGACAAAGACAACAGCAGCCATTGAATTGCTGAATGTCACAAAGCCAGTGCCAGAGAGCTTGATCGTGGCCTTTGTCCAGCCCTTTAGTTCTCTTTCTACACAGGCCAACATCTATGCACTACATAACAAAGAGTTATTAATACAACCTCCACAATCAGCCAGTGTAAGAACCCACACATAGATCCTGGGGCTCCATTCAGAAGTTCCTTAGGAGTGCATGGTATGAATAACTGCAAATTCTTGCCACCGATCTGAAACTGCAACCCACAGAGCAGCCCTTCACTGTCAGGTGACCTCAAAGGATCAGAGAGCAGAAGGAACCCATTCTGTGCAAGTAGGTTCAACAAGCAAACACACTTGACAATTCAAGTATCCTTGTCTGACTTCCAGTCCTCAAGTCTGTGATTCTTCCAGGAGTTGGTCTCCTGGAAGCTGATGGTATGTCAGAGAACCAGCACAACACACCCTCTGCTGCCTCAGAGCCACCATGGGCACTTCTGAGCTCTCACATAGGCAAGATAAACACAACACCCTGAAAGCCCGGCTGTCCTGGGAACTTCCTCTCGTTATATCATACCAGCTGTATCCATCCATGCTTTCCCCTTGTCTCACTGCACATTCCAGAATTCGGCCCAAGCTGCCTCACTCAGTAACTCAAACGGGGGGATTAGACAATGAAGCACAAGTGTACTGTGTTGGATATCGCTGGCTCATCCCGTTCTGACAGGGAACACTTTATGCACTGAAGAACTGCTCTGTATCCAGAGTCTGCCCCAGCCTCCTGAGGGAGAGGGATGAGGAACTAAAAAGCAGAAAGTAGGCAAGTATTCTCCAGTCTTCCCTCTTACTCCAGCTATCTACCAGATTATTACTTCATGAAAACAAAGTTGTCCTCCTCCATCCAGCATGTGGTCTCCCTGCTTTACCCTTATTCTGGACGCTGAGGGAATATTTATGTGATCTACTTTGAGCATCTGATCGAGGTGTGATTCTCTTATGGCTTGAATGTCCTATGTCTTATGTAGCAGATGAAGATGTCTCCCCAGGAGACAACGTCAAATGGTCTTGAAAGGACTCTTTCCTTAATATGTCTTTATGTATTCTAGATTTATTTCTATGTATTAGATCTTAATATCTTTTAATATTATATATTTTATTATATATATATATTCTAAAATTTAGAAATCCCTCTTAGCTGTTGGAAACAACACAGAGTAACCCTAGCACAGTTTTGGCTTCTGCACTGTCAGAATGTAATTACAAAGCAGTGGGAATGCAATTTATTCCCAAGTAACCAGTGCTGCATACTACAGCTGTACTTGAGAGTTTCCAGCTACTCAATGTTTACAAGCTTGAATTCTAAAACTGGCCAGAAATTCATTCACAAGCTCAGACTTTCCCCAGTTTAAGCAAGGGGGTGAAGTGTTTTCCCCTGCACTGTGAGGGCCTGCATCCAGCTGGCCAGATGCTGTTTGGGTGATCTGAACACTGAAGGTCATGGATACATTTTTATCCTTCAAACTCTAAACTCTGTTTAGAAACAGAGGCAGATTTTCATTGCAGAGCTCCAGCAGCATCTGCCTACAACCTGTACAATGATACCAACAGCAATTAGATGTTGTACTTCTGACTCAAACACATGCTCTGTCTGGAATGCCTCCTATTTAAAGCCCAGCACACGCAGATTCTATATCATCGATGTCCTGTAACGCAACAAACATCCAATAGATCCTCTCGGGCATAGCTGCACCAGTGAAATCTAAATGCTCAGCCTACCCCATGTAAATCTCATTTCTAGAATGGTGGGAACTGTCAGGCATCAGAACCTGAGAACATGCACGTCATTTCTCATCTTTACATTTCCACAGAGAGAAATGAAGCCATTAAGCCCAGGCGCAAGCTGTGACTACAGTAAGAAATTAAAAGCTCTTATTTGCCTTTGCAAACAGAAGTTTGGAGGTACTTCAGAAGAATAATGTCATTCTACTAAAAGTAAATGCAGTGGCTCCTGATTCAGAAGTGCTAAAAACTGATGAAGGGCTCAGCATTGTTACAAAAATTCTTAGGCTAAATGTATTTTATCTGAAAGTGGTTAACACTTGGCTCTAAGTGCAGCAATAGAAGAATCTGAAGACTACTGAACAATGATTTTGTCCATCATTGCTGCTGCAGTATGTAAGAAATATCTGTCTGAGACAAAATACATAGGTAGAAAACTAAAATTAGAAAGCTGAACTCGAGGCAATCAAGGTGACCAAACCCAAGAGATGTCCTCTCATGGCTGCAGCCAAAAGGCAGGGAATGAAAGAGAGGGAGAAGGAAAGAGTAAAAACTATATTAAAGGATGAGCAAAGCAGAGTAGCTAGAAATAAGGATCTCAGCCTAACTAGCTTCTCTCTTCAGTTCAGCTGACTGAAAGAGGGAGAAGAGAAGAGGGAGATGCCAGGGCTGAGGTGAAAAATATCTCCTAATAAAATAATCCCCAAATACACTTACAATCAAACAAGAAGGAAATGTTACGTATTTGCTTTTCTGTAAAACCAAATTCACTCTTTCCTAACCCTCTTGGAAATTAACAGTACCACTGGTGAAATGAACTTAAGCACACATGTGAAAAGATTTTAATTCGGTTACTGAATGCTTTTATTGGTTATTAGGGAGACAGTAAAAGCATCCATTATGTCTAATGAGGAATGAAAGCAGATGCTGGAAATAAAGATCATCCATGCTCTAAAGGTTACCTTTCCCCCTAGGAAAATATTCTGAAACAATGTCTGAAGACTCTCAGCTTGCAAAATCAGCAGGGTTCTAGTAAGAGTCAATAAAAAAATTGCCATTTCCCCCCAGATGAAGAGCTGTTCTCTATTAGAATCAGGTGCTCCAACCACAGAGCAGCTGTTCTTCAGCAGTGCTCTCATATACCTATTAAAAAAGCCCACACTCTGACAGGAGCAACTGAGAGGATCCCAGCAGTTGCCGACTCCAACAGTCAGGGTAACTCACTTCATACCTCCAGACTGAGGGAAGAATTTTAAGAGAAGCAGCCCATCACCTCTGTTCATCCCTGCCTTGGGAATCATCACCTCCCATATCCACTGTTTAATCTGCATGGAGAGAACAAGGACTTCATTTGTTAGAAAGACTTATTAGTAATTTCTCATAGAGGAACTAGAATCTTTTACTTTTGTGACAATTTTTTACTTTAGTTGCACAATGTTTATTTTTACATAAATTTACTCATACACTTTTCTGGATTGGCAAAGTTCTACCCAATAACATTTTAGCAAATTATTAAAATCTTAAAGGCTTTCATAAATTTTTAAGCAAAAACTGTAATTTATTCCCATTTACTTACATTCTTGTCCATGTAAAACTATTTATAATTTGTATTTCTCTATTTGTTCAGGATCCTCATGACCACCGGAACTCCAAAAACCCACAGTAAAGCTTTGATTTTACCCTAAACTTTAACAACAAAGTAAACTTTCTTTTTGCATTTAGTCCAGTTTGGCTCCATCTCCTGCCCAAAGTTACAAACTACATCTTGTAACACTCAGATAAGTTTAAAACTATGAAACTCAAAGGCGTTAATCTTACAAAGTACTTAAAGAATGTTTGCTAGAGATGAAAACTATCCTAAGATATTAGAAGTGATCAGCGATTCAGCTGTTAAGAGTCACATATTGATAATTAAGAAAAGGAACAGCTGAACACCTGTATTGGCAACACCAATGGCACTCCAGATACCTACAATTTCTGGGATGTCCTATGTTTCAGGGAAAGGGTGTAGTTTCACTGAATTCTGCCTTAAAAAGTTTCAGGTGGAAAAAACAGGACACCTGTGAAGAAACTCCATGACACAGTAACTTTCAATAAAGCCTATTTTTAAAACTTTAGGAAGAATTTAAAGCACTGACAGACAGAAATGGCAACTTGTAAACTTTTAAACTGCTGAATGGAGCAGATATGAACCATCTCAAACAGAACACAGAAAGAACATACACCTCAGAAATGTACCACTCCAATCACTGCATTCCACAATGGCTGTGTCACATCTTCAGATTTATGTAGCAATCCGAAGCAAATTATCGGGGGGCAGCAAGTAAAGAAAACTTCTCTGCTACTCCTGTCCTCCACCATGGCCAAAAACAGGCTGGGAAAAAAACCTCCTTTAGGTTATATGTACTGGCATTTTTTTCAAGACCATTCTTTCATCTTTGTATAAGGACTTTCCTTAGGACAATCTGTAACAGATGAGGTTCTGCTTTTTCTACTTTCATGCAGCTCTCTCCCATGCAATTTGCTTTTCAATAGAGTGAGTTGGTATGGATTTTGCTACATAACCTACCTGACTCCATCCCTGTCTGAAGCCCTGTTCAATTGTAAGCACAACTCCCAACTTAGCAACCCAAGCTCACTGCGGAGCATTCACAGCGCCGCACAGAGGCTGTGCTCTGACAGCTGGAGGAGGTGCTGTCTTAGTTCAGCCTTTCCCATTCCAGTCCCATGCATGCCAACATTACTGGTAACAGTCAGTGAACCAGATGAGGGAACTGATAGCCTTAGGTTTTTTCACACTTGCCATATATGATTACACATCAGAAAGGCAGCACAGCAGTAAGAATGAGCATGTGGGAAGCAGTATCCTCACAGGGAAAAAAGGTGTCAGCTTAGAAAGTACCTCTCTAGCAGCGCTACTTTCAAAGGACAGAATAAAGTTTAGTAGTAATTTAAACAAAGAAAAAACCACCATCACCCTCCAAACTTACCTTGGAAGGGGATTCTGAAAATCTTGATTTATCTCCCAAGCTTTGTGCAAGTAGGTCTAAAGCTTGGTCTTTAGCAGATGAGAAACTGAGTGATAGCTAAAGGTCTCTCTGTTCTTACTCTGCATTGTATCAACACAGTATGCAGTGGTTTCCAACAGCTTATTAAGAAGTAGAAGTTACCCTTTTCCTACTGTGCTTGGTAACCAACTTAACGCTACACCCAACCCAGAGAAGAATTCCTAAGAGGGCTGAGATTGTTCAAGTTATTCAGCCGCATTTAGGCTCTATTATGCTGAGTACTGTATAAAAAAATCCCAACACCACGAAAACAAAACCACTTTTGCTCTGATCTACCTGCATTTTAGAGATTATATGTGAGAAAATTCATGATCAGTCTTAGATGGATTTAGTACGACACTTCTTAATAAGCACAGTAATTAGCTCCATGGCCTACGAACTGCTTCTCTCTTCCAAAATTCAAACTAACAACTGTCAAGCTGATACCCTAGCACTGGCAAGTCTGAGTTAACTGAGAACAGAGCAAGTAACTTTCTACTTTCAGAGCAAGTTATGTATTTGGTGGTCATGGATTACAGACACTTCCAGTGCGCCCTTACACACACTGGACCAAATGACATGAAATCAGTAACCTGAGGTGTGAACCTCGGGCTGGGTTCTTTAGGTCCTTCTCTGGACTTTGAACTTGCCGGTTTCACCTGTGAGTAATTCAGGAACACTTTGGTCTGCAGCCACCCTGAATGCATATTCAGAACTCTGCATGAAGAGGACACATTTCAAATTCTTCGGGGTTCTCAAATATAGTTTATTCACATGGTAAAAAGTTTGGGGGCATTGGGGTTGTTTCATGTTTTGTACTCTATCCTCTCTTCACTAAGAGAAGTCTACTATGCAGCTAGTGAGTCCCTAGAACTACAGAAAGCTTTGTTATGTCACAACACCCTCCTCCTTTTGGCTTGAGATTTACTGCAGGTAGTATTTTCCTACATGTTTATCACTCCCTGGGGAAGTTGCTCCATACCAGCTTTAGTAGTTCTCTCACCCTGCCTTGTGATGCAAGGATATGCACTCCTGAGCCCAGGAGGCCTGCCATCAGTTCACGCTCTCCTTTCCTGCACTTCCCAAAGCTCTCAGTGGGGAGGGAACAAGGGTGCTTGTTTCTCATTGTACTATCTAAAGTTACATAAAGTACTGTTTAAGGTTATATTTTTATAAATGTACTACTGTAACACCTACTGATTCTGTTTATACAACTGCTTTGCTATCTAAGAAATATATGGCTTGTGGTAAATCTTTAAGTATTCCAGGAGAACAGATCAAATTATTCAATACCCCTTTGCCAAAAGCCTAGACAGCAGCAAAAGACTTCACTTTTTGCCTAATGACTGTCACTTGGCCCAAGTTGTGCTGGTTTCTCAGGCTGAAAAGGTGTGATGGAGCAGTTACACTGGCCAGTGTGCCAGGAAAAGGAGGGGGCTGTGATTTATTTTGATACAGTTCTAGGGTCTTTTCAGACTTTTCTGATACTTATTTTTTTTTTAGTTCAATAACCAGAACACTGTGAATTTGGACAAGCATAGATTTGGGGCGGTTTTCTGCTGGCACTGGCAAAGTGCAAAAAAAGGGGGGGGGAAAGAACTAAGAGTGGCTTGGAAGAATTGCTCTGTCTTGTGTTTCTGAAATATTCCACTCAAATATGACCAAATAATGCTTACTCGAGCTCAGTGGATCCCTCTTAAGAAAGACAATATAAACCAGAATTTTACTGTATACAAGTTACAGCAATAAAACCAATCATTTTAATTGAAGCTGTTAAAAAAAACATGTGAGGCAATATAAATGATAAAACTATGCTTAAGAAGAAATAGCTAGCACTTTCTGAAAAGCTTTAAAACAGCGACAGACACTTTACAAAAGATTTGAGGGAAGAGAATAAAATTTCTGAACTACAGGTACTGTATAAAGGTAACATTAACAATTATCTTATAAAATACAGCAACAGAGACAAAATGGATACTCAAGCTCATTTGAAACTAAGCCTTCTGGGGTCTTGGTTAAAATGTATGTTCAAAAACTATTTTAAACAAGGACTAAATAATTCATATTTTAAATGTACAGGTCCCTGGCATAAACAGCACTATACACATCTTCCAAACAAGCAGTAAGTACAAGTTCCTTTAACCATGTGTGGTGTCATCTTCTACAAAGTCTTTGGCCATTTCTGCTGTGATCACATCAATATGACTGACCTGGCGGAACAAAGAAATGTGCAGTTATTACAGTATCTATCTCCTGCAGAGTAATACAGACATTTCTGAAGGCTTCAGAACTCAGCAATACATCTATAATCAATTTCTAATTCCCTTTAAGGAACATGACAAAGGACACATCTAGATATTTAAATCCTTTTTCAGGAAGGAACTTTTTATAGAAGACTGCAGCATAACTAGAAATCTATCACTGAAGTGAGCCTGCTTCAGTTTGAACTCTTTTTAAGTCAAGTCTCAAATTTAGCTATTTTAGTTATGGTGTTTACTGAGAACCTTATCATATTATTTACCTTGTTTCGGAATTTTACACCATAGAACTTGTCAGCTGACTCAAGTAGTTCAGGTCTAAAAGTCGTTGTAATAAACTGAGCATGTTCAGCTAGTTCCATAATCATATCTAAAAATGAACACAGAAATTCTTGATTAGTGTAATCTTTACAATAAAGTAGGACAGACAGGTAAAGAGTTTGCTATTCTTTATTGAGAATGAGGTTTTGTTTAATTTAAAAAAAATAAACACCCACAAATCAAGAGAGAACCCATACCAGGTTTTAAGTACTATCATTAATTCCAGTATCCACTCTTGACAAATCCAGCCACTCTGCAAACGTAAGTGTGGTATTAAACTTCTGTGATGAAAAACAGAGTGAGTACTTTTCCACTGACTTTCAAAATCAAACGAGACTTCCAAACAGGACTGTTTCCACCACACTGAAGTGTAGTAAGGAGACCCTTTAGACACAGTAGATAGCACAGAGCTTCTTCCTAAAACCAAGTTCATGAAAGCTTCAGAAGGCACAAAGTTAAATTCTAACACACACTGGACTTCTCAAAAATATGCTTTTATGATTAAAAGCTTTAATCAGGGATGAGAAGACAAACTGTTACCTTTATTCACAATGAAGATAAGAAAGGTAGACAGGTACCTGAGACAGCCTTTCTGTGCTGGGCATCCAGGGCTTGGTCGATTTCATCAAACAAGTAAAATGGAGCTGGATCACATTTCTGGATGGCAAATATCAGGGCCAGGGCCACTAAAGATTTCTGTCCACCTGAAAGTTGCTGCATTTCTCTCATTTCACCCTGTTTGCCTGTGAAGGATACCTAAGAAAACAATATAACAGCAAGATGATTTCAAAACACTAAACCACATCACTTGATATTAAACCAACCGGATCAACTGAATGTTGCCTTTAACTTAAACCGCAACTTAAACAAAAATATTTTTCTTTACCCTTATGCCAACTCCAGTGAACTGATCTACAGATGGAACACTGCTCTGAGATCCAGATCCCCTATCACTCTCGGTGCTGCCTTCACCTTCATCCTGGGACTGATTGCCCTCCACATCTCCTTTCTTCATTACTAATGTGGCCTTGCCACCAGGCACTAACTTCTGGAATACTTCACTGAAATTTTTTGACACCTGAAAAAGAAACAGTCAATAAAGCAGCTCAAATGCAGACAACAACTGCTTTTACATGATCACACAAAGTATCTGCTTCAAAGCAGAGATCAACATTCATTCTTAAGCAGAACTGAGAAATGTTATGCTGTACAGAGTTTGGCTTAAAAACAGCTAAGACAAATGTTCTTGTAGCATGAGAATTTGCAAAAATTTTTTTTAAAAAATGGTAGAATTATAACATAAAACTGTAGCAAAAGCATGATTTCTTTCAGTCACCTTTTATTAACCAAAAGACCTTTTAAGAGAAGCCTTCACCCACTTTGTAGTTAAGATCCTTTGTTAACATTAGAATTACTTTCACTAAATCTGGAGAATGGATTTGGTGCAGTTTTTTACCAGACATGTCCCAGAAAGGGTTGTAGGTAGTACAAAGAGACTCACTTGAAAGGAAATATTTAAGAGGTTTAAAGCAAAGCTAGAGTTGTAATAGAGATGGGCACCTGTTTAAAAGGTTAGTTATTTTTCAGTATTTAAAAAACCCACAAGCCTCAAGTTACATGACATTGCCTTCTGTTATTACACACATACTTTAGTATTTGCTTCTTCCCATAGAGCTGCTACATAACGGGACAATTTGATTGATTTCAACACCAGTGTCTTTATAATTGTTCCGATTTTGTTACCTGTTTGAAAGTCAGCTGAATAGCCTCGTATTTCCTGAGCTCAAGGACATTCATCAGCTCCATGATGGATTTGTAGCCCCTGTCCAGTTCCTCTTGTCTTTTTATCAGTTTTTCCTTCTGCTCTGAGAAATTCACAAACTGATCTAAAGCTTTTTTATTAACGTGACTGTATTTCTTCAGTTCCGTATTGCACTGCTCCAGCTTGCGGAATAACTGTAAATGGAAAACATTAACACATCAAAGTGACTTGCAACTCCAGCCACATTTGACACTAAAGATGAAGGTGACACTGATATTTCAGGTTAGGAAACATGAAACCAAGCACACTATTTACCTGCTTTAAACTTAAAGTCTGATACTTTTCAAAAGCCTCCTGTGGAAGTGAACCCAACTCTCGGATTTTCTTCATGCATTCCTCTTTTTTCTTGAGAAGCATGCCTTGCCTGTTGGTCATTTTCTCAAGTTCTTTTGTATCATGGTTAATGGCATCCATATGCTCCTTTTCCATGTTCTTCCAGCGTTCCATGCTCTTCTGAAGTTCTTTAATTCCTGCTTCTGTTTTATCAATAGAGTTATCCAAATCTGCGATATTGGGTGAGAGTACAAAACCCAAAGGAGTAAGTCTTACATGCCTTCATAAGATCAGCAATTATCCAGAAAAGTATTTATGAAACAAAAAGATAAACTAAAGAACATGATCTATTAAAGACCAGAAGGTTAAATTTCAGGCAAAAGGCTGAAAATCCCTCTCTTTTCTTCTCCATAAGCATTATGGCTTAAAAAAAAACCCAAATGTACTACAGTCATATTGTTAATGTCTAGAAAGAGAAGCAAAGAAAGTTTTGAGCCACACAGATGCAATATTTTATTTGACTGCAGCTGAGTTTTAGATAGGTTAGACAAAGTTCAGGAACAACTATACAAGATTTTGCTTGTAGGAAGATATGTACTGTGCCCTGAAGCCAGAAGCCCGTTTATCGCTAAGTTAATCACTTCCCACATTATGGTCTATTTCTAAACCAAAAGATAGTATGTGTGAACTTCCAAAACACTGCAGAGTTTTCTTTCAAAAAAACGATGCTACCAACCATCAGACCGTGCCAGCGTGTCCTTCACTCGTTTGTTGATGGCCTCAAGTTCCGATGTTGTGGCAGTAAGAACTGTGCCACCTTCTGTTTCTCGAAGCTCATTCAGTTCCTATGGGATAAATAAATGCCACCAAGCTTCAGCACAAAGTGCAGCAAAAGTATGAGCCAGACAAACAAGTTATCTTCTGCTACTCTACATATAACTGTGTTCAATATTTACTAAAGTTTTAGAGAACAGTTAGATTTTCAAACAAATTTGTCATTATGATGACACACACATAGACTGTGTATTCAAAGCACAGATAATGCAGGGTAACGAATGAGTATTTATCAAGTGACTAATATGTGTTAGCCCTGGAAATAAACCAAAACCAGACTGCAAAAGTACATTTAAAACAAAATTCTTACTTGTTCCACTTGGTCTAAGCGTTTTCTCAGATTCTCATTGAGATATGTTTCAACTCTTGTGATAATGCCTTCTAGTTTAATCCTCTCATTCAAAAGCTGTCTGTTTTCCTGAAAAAAGTAAAAGACTATATTAGTTGCCTTACCTTGTTTTATTTTCCCACACTGTGCATAATCCCTTCAGATGATTGTATTTATTGCTGCGAAGTTCAATAGCAGAAGAAAAGAAATTCCTATGATTTCACCCCAAATAATCTTAATTCTCACACGATCAGCTGGCAAAAATCACCCAGAATTTTAAAAAAACATGCAAATACACTTAGCAAATAAGAGAACTTCAAACATGCCTACCTAGTACTGATGAAGCGCTACTTTAATGACACTGTATTCATAAGTGACTTTTCATACAAAAGAACAAAAATAAGTTTATTGCAAAGAAAGGTACCACACTTAATGGCAAGACATTTTAATTTCCTTACTTGCTGTAGTTGTCGAATTTCATCATTAAGAGCATCCACACGTTTCTGATCTTCAAGACTGAGCTGAGACAACAAATCTGTCCCCAATTCTGCTTTTAATGATTCTCTAGTTGACTCCATAGCATGCAAACTTGCCTCCAAGCTCTGCAAACTACGTTGCTGTGGGATAGATATTAGTCAGAATCATTCATCAAAGCAATTTGTAGATTTATATGAATTTCACCTTTCTGTTTATAGCAACATATTTTTGTGACACACCTTTAGTCATCTCTTAATATTTCATTAAGATGTTAACCAGAAAGGAATGCAACTTTATCAGTAATATTAATGAAACAATTAATATAAATGCATTAACAGCTTTCAAAAACCCCATACCAACCTTAGGCATAAATGTCTTTTCAGACTGCTGCCTTTTCTCCTTCAGCATTTTCATCTCTGACAAAATACTGTCTCGAGAGGCTTTGAACTTCCTCTGCTGTGTTTCAATTTGCTGCATTTGGTTCATTAGCTGGTCAATCTCATTATTAATCCATGCTGTGAGCTAAGGAAAACTGTCCTTGTTTTAAAAGGCATTTTATACCTGCTAGTATCTCTGTCATCAAAACAAGAAACAAACAAAAAGCCTCACCATACCACAATATTCAGTTGTACAGGAGAAATCAAGACTCATCAACAAAAGTAACTTGAGCAGCTTATCAAGTAACTTTTCAATACCAGGAACTAAGCTAAACGAAGCTTTCCTTGTTTATTTTACAACATGGCATTGAGAAGAACAGAGGGATACATTTGAACATGCAAGGAAAATTCAAATCTCACAAAATACAGAGGAGATGCCTACATTTACAAGGAAGTATTAGAACAATACCATTATCCCTCACTCAATTTTGAGGCAAAAGTCTAATTTGTTCAGGCCAATTTTGATACAGTGGCTTAAGGCACAGTGCAGAGCTTGCTAAGACTGTGTTTTAATTTATGTTGTGTTGCTATCATGTTACTCCTACTGCAACGTATATTTAAACACATCACCTTAAATTCTTTAAAAATGAAATAATTTCCTAAGCAGAGGTTACAGTAAAACATACATACTTAAAGCATTTGGGGAAAACTAAATGAGCTATAGAACAGGAAGTTAGTGGCAATGGATATTTTACTTTTAAAACAACTGAGGTCTGTTTTCGTTATGTTTTAGAAGTTACCATCAGATTGCAGTAACAGCTACCAACAGCTGAAGCACATGCCACAGAGCACTACTTACATCCTCTACAGATCCCTGCTCAAAAAGAAACTCAGGCCTGAAGATTTTGACTTACATGACAGCAAGAAAAATTTCTCAGTTCCAAAACAGTAGTCCTGGTTAAAAGTTAAACTATACAGAAACACAAGGGTCTAACAAGTAACTGGAGAATTTTACTACAAGCAACAGGAATTCAAGTTCCCATTCCTACTTACAAAAAGCAGGCCACCTGCACGTTGCACACTGGGTAGTTAAAACTAGTTTCTGCACAGATACTTTTAAAACCGTATGCCTATATATCTATAGTTTAAAAAATACCTAAAGAAGGAGAGAAACCACACTAATTTTAGATATACATATTTGGTCCTGTACACTGCTCAGGAGTAACCAGAAGGGTGAAAGACATTAATTATTGCTGGTGCATGTAAAGCCAGCTGGCAAATTCAGCCTATTTAACCCATGTTTAACAGACCATTCTGAAATTCTCCCACTGACTTAGCAAGACATAGTCACATACTTTTAAAGTTTTCCTCATCAGCTTAGATCTAACCATAGGCTTCAGTGGTCCGCTTATCTGCAGTCCCAAAAATGTCTCTAATGCACTGATACAGGTCATAAAGCAAAGGCATTCAGTTTGAAGGACAGCATGACCTGGGTGATGGATAAGAAAATTGTATAAACCTCCCTTGCCCCTGAATTCTAGATACTGGATCTCAAAAGGACACTGTACAAGAGACTGAAAAGACTGAACTGTCAAACAACTTACAGCTTATTATAACATAATGGTCTCCATCTCCCCTCCACAGCATAAGGGGACTCTGTAACACACCAATTCAGGACACAAGTACTAAAAATATAGCATGAGTCAGAAGAAGCAGTGAAGATTAACACAGATAACAGCAATATCTGGTTATAGCAGTTACTACAACAAACTCTAAAAGGAATAGAAAGCCTCATAATTTAGGGTTTAACCTCATCTGTAAGCTTTAATGATCAGTATCAAATTTTAACTGGGACAAGTTACCAGTGCTTTTTAACCTGAAGGCCACTGTGCCAGCCACTCTCTAAAGCAAACTATCGACAATGTGAGCTTCAATTACTATTTTTGAGTCAAGTGTCCCCAGTAAGGAAGTTTTACCAAAACATTAACAGTGGTACAGCAATTACTTCTTACCTAGCTGCACTGATCTAAATATTATTTTTAAAAGAGAATGCAATTCAGGCACATAAAGAATTGGTATGTTTTAAAATCTTTTCTTTTCACTGGCTGTACACCAATTTTCACATGCAGGGCGTTCTTTATTTTTGTTTCACCACTGATTCATTTGTTACAGAAATTCCTACAGTAACATATAAAACCAGGCTATAGTTCTATAGAACAAATGCCACAGCTAATGTGTTACATTAACAAGTTAGTCTCCTGCTTTTCATCTATTACATCTATTACTGTAACCAAAACAAAAGATTTGTCATCACACAACCTTCCCCCATTAACAACAAAAGGATATTTTCAATGTTTCTGCGTAAGTTTTCATTGAGTTTTGCTTCAAGTTCACCAAGTTCTTCTTCTGCTTTTCTAACATCTTTCTGCAATTCAAGCCGAGACTTCCTGGTGTCGTAATAACCTCCAGTCAAAGCCCCACGATGGCTGACTTGATCACCTGAGAGCACAAGAGAGTGAGACTATAAACAGCACAATATATGCTCTCCAGTGCACAGAAGTGCTGCATGTCTGAGCAATCATGTACCTATGTTTAAAGTAATTAGGGAAATGCTTATTTCTGTAGTCAATTTAAGTGCATTTCCTTTCTCAAGACAAATGCAGACTCCTGTGATGTCCTTTAAGCATTAGCTTGTTTTTAAATCACTTCTGAAACCATGCAGCTTGAAGGAAAGAAAACACGTAGGAAAAGTGCAAATGCCTAGCACTTATCAGTTTGAAAAAAACCCTCGAATTTCTGTGAGGAAATAAACAAGAGATCAAGTAATCAGCAGCATCTGTGGCTTGTAGAGTATGCTGATACTGAAAAATTAGTAACTTCCTCCTCAGACATCCTTAGGAATTTTTTCAGATTGACTTCGAGTGACAAAAAGACAACAATAAGCCTGCAGGGAATCTGCCTTCTTAAGAACTGGCAATTAAGAAGAGTTATAGATTATTTCAGAGAACGTAAGATGTAAACATGCCTGTGGCACTGGAGAATTCACCTTGCACTTCTCAGTAATTAAGGCCATACATTCACACACTAAACACTGGTTTAAGCTTGAGGAAAACATCATAAATATACTCCAGGAAAACAAACGCCTGTTAAATTGGATAAAACAAATTGTATGAATACAAACCTGATTTGCTTTACAATTCTCAGGATGGAGATACACGGTTACTAACTTTTAGCTCCTACAAGAATTCCACAGTTTGTGAAGAAATCCTGTATTTTTAAGCACTGTACTTAACCAAGTGCAACTTTGTATATACATCTCAGTCAAGTATACTATTATTTTAAATAATCTTATTTTGACAACACCAACAGACCATGTTTAATGAGCCTCACAAGTCAGGGATCCTGTTTTGACAATAAATAATTTATAAAATTGAAATACTTACCTTCCAGAGTGATACAATCCATAGTGAAAGCTCTGGCCAACTGGGTAGACACTTCCATGCTACGACAAATTAAAGTCTTCCCAAAAACATGCTTGAAAGCTTTATCAAATCTTGGATTATATCTCAGTTTACTGATCATAGGAATAGCATCCTGAAATGACAGGAATTTTAATGATAAGAACATATGGCAAGTATATTGCAACTAAATTATACACAGCACTCAAGAGTAAAAATAGTCATAAACACTCTATGGAAATCGAGTGCAAGATATTGCAATTTTAGCTTCTCACAGCTAGGCTTGTGCCTGAAGTCAACTACAGGTCTGCCAGAAAACTCACAAGAGTATTAGATTGCTACTGAAATAAGTGAATAAGTATCACGTTTTTTTTTCCTCCAAAAAAATGACTGCTTTTTGTAGAACACAAACATTAACAGTTGTACTAATACAGACTCCTCAAAATAAACACACTAGAAGTCTGCTTGTTTCCTATGTCTATCCAGGAAAAAGAGAAGAAAACCCCCTATTTTTGAAGAACTTATGCAACTGTGATTATTGCAGGAAGCAGTGTCAACGTTCACACTATTAATTCACTACTAAAGTTTCAAATAAGAGCCAGTACTTTCCTGAAATGCATTACAGAACTATTTTTTAAATAGTAGTCACTGAAGGTTTATTTATGCATTTTTGAATATAAAAACATAACTATTTCCAATAATTTTTATAATCTGTCCATGGCTGTAAGATGGCTATTCAGCTTTTGTCCATAGCAGCATTTCAGCTGAAGGAACTGCAATTCAGAATTTAGGCAATTCTTGATTTTTAGGTTACAACAAAATTCTACCTTTTAGTATTGCCTTTTTACTTGTAAAGTGCAGTTAAACTTTAAAGAGCAGATACCTCATAGGGAAGTATTTTTCTGTAACAGAGGATTTTATGTTGAGAGGCATAAATTAGAAGTAGCATTTACTTGCAGACATCCAACAGAAAAGCAAGTGAGCAATAAGCAATGTACACAAACAATTCGAAACATAAGGCTTTGTAATTATGAAGCAGAGGAAGGTTCAAAAGGAATTCTAACTCACATTAGTCTCAGGATAAGCAGTATCTCTAACATCCAGCTTGTTCAGAGGGAGGAAGGTAACTTCTCCAGGAAGGTTCATTTTGTTAAATTCCATTAGGATCTTTGTACTGACCTCATCAGAATCCACAATGTGATAAAACAACCTATTTAACAAGCCCAAAAAACAGACAAAACTTTACCGTGCTAACAGCACAAACATATTTCTATAGGAACAATAATCATGCAGGTACCATTAAATAACATATCAATATAAAGCTGCATTGCATTTTCCTTTCAATTCCATGCCTCAGGAAAAGCAAGTGGATACATTCTACTCACTTTCATTAATATGGGATTAGACAAGAACTTTATATTCCACCCTCCTGTCACAAGAGCAGCTCAATCTCTCTAGAGTGTCACTGTATACAAATATTTTACACGGACTCCTTAACACTCAACATCTTTTCAGAGCTTTTAGGTAGCAGTTTTTGACAGTTTAGAGACCATTCTCACCCATGAGATTTTCTAGTGCGAGTGAAATATTTCTTACTGTTATTGAAAGATCAGCCTTGTTTACTGTAGAATTTTCCACACTGGAAGATGCTGTCAACTTTAGGCAATATATCTCAGTTTCACCACCAGTCCTTCTGGTAAATGTCAAGAGTGTGGGTCTGGGCCCTATTTTGTTGTTTGTTGTTTTTTTTTTTTCTTTTTCTCTGTGTTTTTGTTTTAGGTTTTTTTTGACAAAGTCAAGAGCAGCTAGGTTTAATATTCAAATAGGCAAAATTCTTCCTTGACAAAGGAATAGCAGTTTGATCACGCTATATAGAAGGCACTTTGACAAAAGAAAGGCAAGAGCTCAAGTTCAAAAGACTAAAACTTCAGGAGCAGCTTGTACCAAGAACTGAACTGTGATACTGCACTAAAGAGCATGTCATTACCTGTTCCCTGCAGTAACTTCAACACAGGTGTAGAAAGCTGGTTCACACTCAAAGTTATTCATCACAATGCCATGGTAGCCATTCAGAACATGCTGGTTTATGCCTTTGCGACGGAAGTGCTCCAAAACTTTGTTTATGCTGTCTATACCATTCAAAATGGCCTGTTGAAGAACAACTTATTATTGTATTGCAGTTAAAATATATACACATAATATCCACTTTAACTTCGTGAAAGTTGTAACCTCCTTTTCTGCCAAATTCCTGCTAACTAACCCAACAGCTCTAACAGAAAATATCTAAATACTTGAGTTTATTACTTCTCAGTTTTGTTTGTTTGTCTGGGTTTTTTAAGCAAAAAGATAACAGAAAAAATTTTTAGAAGTATTCCGTTTCTGCCTGGTCTCCTCACATCAATTACCTTGAGTTTACAAAACAAATTTTCAAGTAGTTTTAGAGCTATAAATATTTGAAAAATTCAGCTTCTAATATAACTTGTTTTAATTATGACAAAAAGACTGTAATTAAAAAAGTAACTATCATATTTTTCAGATATGACTATGACTTGTCCTTTAAGAATAAGATTCCACAAGGAATTCTCAAATATGAGGTACATTACCTTTCCTGTTGCTGCTCTGAGAAGCTGCTGTTTCTTTTCTAAATCCTCCCTCTTCGCAGCAAGAGCTTGTTGTTCTGCATTTTCTTCTCTCCATAGATAACTACAGAACAAAACCAATAAAATTTTGAAGTGTGAATGCAATCTGAAGATTTTATAATTATTTCCTTAAAGACTGCTCATCTAATGGGAAGGCAAAGTGCAGGAGTTCATACATGGCCATATTCAAAAAACATACCTACATGCCATGTTAACAACTACACAGTTGGGGTCCTTCATATTAAGTGAGACTGAGACATATTTCAATTAATTACTAACTTTCTTTCACTCTGTAGTTCATCCTTTTTATTTTTCACTTCATAGTATTTTCTGTCCAGTTCTTCAACACGAGCCTTCACTTCATTAAGATCCTGGTCCAGTTTCTAATACAAAGAAAATAACAGTATGAAATTACAAGTCTTTATATGAAAAAAAATCTTTATTTAATACTGAACTATTACTTAAAATTCAGAAAACAATTCCTACAAACATTTAAACCAGTTTACAACAAACTGCAAAAGCACTAAGAATAAATACATCTTTGTAAGATGGCAAGGCAGGCAGAGTTCAACTGTGCATCTGGGCATTGAAGTGAAATGGATCAATTGTAAGTCATGGTAAGAATGTAACTAAATATAAATTATATAACTATTGTAACTACTACTATAACTACCATGTAATCATGCTCATAAATGAGATTCGTGATAAGAACATACATAGTAATCTCATGTACTATGCCACCCTGTTATTAGTCAAAAATCTTCGGCTGCTCTCCAGCAGTACTAGACTTTAACACATCTGCCGTTGATGTGTGCTGCTTAAGCCAATGCAGAGACATCTTTCCTTTGCTCATTTAACACCTGCCACTTACAAAGCAGTTCAGGGCTAGCACTCAAGATAGTGTTTATATATTTATATGTGTACAAGGAGAAGTGACTGTGTTCTAAAAACATAGTCAACTTGTTCCAAAATACCTTTGCAAGCTCTCAATCACATTCACCCAAGACACCTTCTCTGTGAACAACAAAAAGCTATACAACTCTTTGCCTAAGCATAAATCAATCTTCCTTAGGAAGAAAAAGAAAACCACACTTTCCTACAGAAAGGAATCAAAATCCACCCCAAATTTAACCTTTTCAATGCTACAGAATACCCATTGAACAGGATGGTACAATTACAGTCAGCCAAAGAAATCCCATTTCTTTCATTCATCAACTCAGAGAATCACTACTTTGCCAATGTGGACCCCAACCAAGCAGTATTTTAGCTGAACACCATCTTTTTTGTACAACTACATTCCTGCATGCTGTCAGACTGATCCTCAGTTTTAGCAGATATATTACACAAAGGTCAAGAACACTGTCTATCAGCATTGGCACTGTATGCTTTTCGCTGTTGTAACTCCTAGCAGGAATGCTATTTTTGAATTATACTGCTGTATTTGCAGTGTAAGAGCTGTTTCTGAATGGAAATTAAAATCTGAGTTATGCAGATAATACTACAACAGGTCAATCTTCTAACATGCCTAGGGTTGCAACTTCTAACCAGTTGCAATCATGGTACAAGGGCAGTGCCTGCTGCATAGTTTAAAAGATCCTCCGGCTTGGGAAAATGAGAAAAGTGAGACCAACCAACACAGACCTCTATAAGAACATAACAAATGGTTATCTATGACATGGCCACATTCAACGTAGACGAGCAAGGCAGATAGAAAACTCTTCCTGAAAACTCAGGCCAAACATACTGGGGAAAGTACTACAAGGCAAAGCCAAGACACAGAGTGAAGTTAGATGCTAAAGGAGTTTAAAGCTTATCTACAGATGTTTTCAATAACACATTTTTCAAAGGCCACACCCAACCAGAAAGTCACATCTTCCTTACAAATAGGCATTGAAGTCTAATTGTCCAAGATCAAAATGAGTATTCAACCCTTCTCTCAAAACCCCTGAGAATAAGCTGAAAACTTACACTGTACTGTTCCAAGTTTTTCTCCTTGTTTGCCTCTGTATCCTCTAAATCCTTGTGTATAGCTGCAATCTGCCGCTTCTTGTCATTGATGGCTTGATCTAAAGACTTCAGTTCTTTCTTTATCCACTTATCTCTTTCCTCTTTGGAAGTAAACTGGCTTCCTCGACCTTGTTTTGCATAAAGATCTGTTCTTTCTTGTGTAGCCTGTGCAAGTCTACGTCGAGAAGCAAAAGACGTGGTGTATTATAAGGAAATGTTGAATTTATTAAGAGCGAGCATTAAGAATTACTGTTAGAATTTTCAAGAAGTGTCAAATCATCTAAAATGATTTGTCAAATCTAAAATTTAAGCACCAAATCAGTAACAGAAAGAAAAGGAACACGTTATAAACAACAAAAATCACCCAGAAGACTTCAGAAGAAGTCAACCATGGCCCACAAAAGTGGTCACAAAAGCTTAAAAAAAAAAATAAATCATTTCACCAAATACTGTTCCCACCCCAACAATAAGGAAGGCTTTTTACAGTCCATCTCCAAACACATAATAGCTACCCCATTGTCGAGCAACAAGTATACTTTAACTGCACAGATGAACAGGACTGATAAAATTTTTTCTAAATGCTTTGACTCCCCGTTATAGAATGGCACAAACCTAGCAATTCCTCTCTCTTCTTTTTCTTTTACGCTGTTAAATTTCGGCTCTGTTTCTGCCAATTCTTTCTGCTTCTCCTCGATTTTCTCAAGAAGCTTTTGCCTCTCTTTTAGCAGTCTTTTCTGAAAGTCAAACAAAGCAGTATTTAAAGTTAGGTAATAGCAGGAACTATTTTTACATATATGCACACTTCTGAAGAATAACTACACTGTAAGGCTGCAAGATGTCAGTGCTTATCTGACGCTATGCTATTTTAACACATAACAAAAGTGAATTCATTTCCAATCAGGACAGCAAAGAGGGATGAAATTAAGCATTCTCAAGAAGCTAAACTACACAAGCAAGGAAGGTCTGTACGGGCCAAACAACCAAGTTCAAATTAGTGCTATAAACAAAACCCTCCATCCCAATACTTGCAGCAACTAAAATCAAGAGAATTATAGGTGCTTGATTTTGCAACATGCAGGATGATAAATAAAGGACCATACCACAAAAGTCCAAGTTTACATCGCCTGGAATCACACTAAAGACAAGACTAATTTATCTGTCTGGGAAACCTTACAAAACAGGCTGCAGTCTGAAACCAAAACTTCAGAGTACAAGAGCACTTTTAAGACTTCACTGCTGTTACATACCCTTTGTTCACTGTTGCCAGCTAATTCATCCTGCAGATCCTTAGCCTTCAGCTCTAATTTAGTCCTCTGCTTAATCTGCTCTTGTCTTTCAGCACTAAGTTGTTCTTTCTCTTCTTTCATTGCAGAAATCTTTGTCTTCAGTTCTCGAACTTGCCGTTCTATTTCCTGTGCAAATTTAAGTGTGTAGTATCTCAGACACTGCACGCACATTTCACTATCTACAAAACTCACAAGATCGTTATTCTGTAGATCACGATACACTAGAAGTGTGAAAGACTTCTCATGTTTCCAAACAGGATGAAAGTATAAAACTGGATTTAATACAGTTTTAGACATCACCAGCCCTCCTCCCTCTCCAAAAAAATGCAAACCCACAAAGCAAAACACATCTCAAGAGCCCTTTTAAAAGTAGTTTTACCTCCATTTTATCTCTAGCATCTTGCTGTGCATCCCTCAGCTGCCTCGATTTCTCTCCACTTGTCTCTCGTTTAGCAGAAAGCTGTATGGAAACATCACCAACAGTTTAAGTAGCAAGAATCTGTTTTAGTAGTGGTTCCAGAAAGAAAAGAATTTGTTTTATTAGTGAAGAACACTGATGTTGAGGAATACATTCAGTGCAGGTAGCTCAGTGTGCAGCTGCAGACCGCTGCAGATTAAGCTCTGGGTGGTGCGTGCCCCAGGCAGGAGAGCCCAAGGTAAGACACTGTGAACTGCTGCCAGGGCCCAGGGATCTGTGAGCAGGCCAGGTAACTGGACACTGGGAGACACAGCAGGAGCCAATGACCCCAGACTTGCATGTGCTCAGACTCTGAGGGGATAAAAGTCCAGGGCCTCCTTTGTTTGGGGTCCCTCCTCAGAGGCACCCAGCTCAAGCTATTCTGTTATTTAGTTATGACACCAAGATTAAAATTAAAGTCTGCTGTGGGAAACCTGGTCTGTGTGAGTGAGCACCTGTTGGCTCACCGGAGCTGCCCGCCCTGAAAAGACTTTGGTCGCAGCTCAGCTGGTGCGGCTGTGACTGACAGAGCAGCTCCTGGATGGCTGGACAGGAAAGTTTCCTTAACACTGACAGGATTCTACCAAGGAACACAAAGAGACGGTGGCAAAAACAAATCAGCAGCTCATGCTGTATCTCGTACTAGCCAAGATACTTTACCTCATCAAGCTTAGCTCGGGTTTCATTAAGCTCCTGATTATAGATGGTGTATTCTAATGCTCTCCTCATTTTATCCCATTTCTGGTACTGAGCCAGCTCTTCTTTCTCCTCTTCGAGCGTGTGCAGTCGCTCTTCAATGTATTTCAACAACTCGTTGATCTTCTCTCGCTTGCCCTCTTCAGAAAAGAGGACAAGATTGAAGTTCAGTTAAACACTAAGACATTCCCACACATTTACAGCTACTGAATCTCCTGAAGTGATTTAATTATTTCTCAAGAGAAATCTGAAGAGAACCCATGTCCAGAAGTTCCAAAAAAAATATCCTAACAGCAGAACTGTTGATAATTGTTATGTAAGGCAACACTAACACAAACCCTCTTGGCTCACACACTTAAAATAATTATAGACTACCTGACATGAACTTTAGTGTTTGCATGGCAGCAGGTATCCTGATTTTTATCACTGTCAGCTGACATCATTCATGATTTGAACAGTAAATTTATCCCCACTAGCTCAGCTAAAAAGTTTTATAACTAAAAGCACATGTGAAGTAACTTATTAAACCTGTTGAGCTATTTGAAATTCAGGGAGGAAATATGACATGTTCTGTATCATTTAACATATCACAAATAAAATCTATCTAGTAATTAGCACTACTGAAAAAGTCAAACTTTCAGAGTTAATGGAATTACTGTGGCATAAAACAGTAATTTCTTAGACCGTTTTACCTGTTTCTTTCATAAGTGAAATACTCTCCTCTTTACGTTCATCATACACTCTGGTACCAGCTACCTCCCTCAGTAACTTCAGTCTTTGAGAGTCAGGAGCTGTAGCCATCTGGTTAATCTGAAAATTCAAGATTTATGATTTCAATAGCCTGCTCTGGATGTATGGCTAACCAGAAGAGATCAAAGATTCTACTTATTTTGCTGTGCTTGGTTGCATGAGTTTTGACAGGAAGATTCAGGTACATAGTATATACCACACTACTTTTCTTTTGAGACAATTAGTTTATTGCATGGCAAGTACTCTGCTTGTAATGAAATTTGTTGGTTTTCCTATGTTACTAAACTAAAAATCAGGATACAAGTATTACATACACTGAAGAAACCATAATCCATTCAAAATTACATTTAGAGAAACTCAAGCTTGAGTTTTTAAGCCCTGGTGCTAAATCAAACAGTTTAAATGCCTCCATAAAACCACACTAAAATGCAGGGGTTATAAATCTTAGAATAATTCACATAATGAAACACTCATTAATACAACATTAAATCAGCCATACAATTACACCCAACATAAAACTCACTTCCCTTTAATAGAATTTCAGAGGCTGCATCCTTTTCTAAGAAGGTTACTGTTTCTAATTTGTATTATATTAAAACCAGTATGAGTATATTGGCTTTAAATCATGTGCACCGATCCCCACTACAAAACACAAATGACTTTCCAGCCCAAGTCATTTCTTTCAAATACACACATTGAGCTGTATAGGAAAATTTATCCTGATAAACATCTGAAGGACCTTACTATGGTCAGAATTCTTGTCATCAAGTGCTCAAGTCTCCTGCATTTCTGTTTAAGTATCCCTTCCAGTAATCTTCTGGAGGTGACAGTTTCCAGTGACTCCTTGAGGATGCATCCTGTGAGCCATTACAAGTAGAATGTCCTTTGTCTACAGATATGGGTGTCCTTTACAAGCTCTAGGAAGCTGCTTGCGTCTTGAACAGCAGCTGAGACAGGCCATGCTATGAGCCCTTTCCCTGATGTGTGTTCACTTTCGGTACTTCAGCATGTTTCCATTCATTCTCCACTGACAGTAGTTTTAATCTCCTAAAATTCCCTACCATTACTTTGCAGCCTCATCTTAAGGCCCAGAAATCTATGAATTTACATTACAACAGTCATAGGAATCAAGTTTGCTGTGTACTTAAGTATGCACCTGATGGCCAAGAACACCACGAAAAAAGCCCTTTTCTAAATATCAACATTACAGATATGATTTTTTTTTAAATCAACATAAACTCCTAGAACAGTAATATTTGCAAAAGCAGCATCGACATACAAGAATCATTTCAAACTAAAAATGGGTTCTAGTTTGCTTCTGCAATAATTGAGGTAAGTTCAGCATCCAGGGAGCATGATACTCTTGACAGTGATTCCTTCCATTTTGTGAAAAAGAATCTTACCTTTCCTTGTTTGACAATATAGTAGGGATTACTGCGAGAAAATCCAGCACTTTCAAGAAGATTCATTACATCATTTTTCCTGAAATGTTATTATGAATCCATTAAAAACACAGTGAAAGTCACAGCTGTAAAAATTCAGTAAAGTATCACAACTATATATCACAGACTATAATCACCATGTGCAATGCATGCTGTTTGAAGAAGCTTCTTGATTTGATAATGGCTAACTCTAAAATGAAATGAGAGAATAAAAATGGAAAATATCTAAAATAATAGAAAGAGACTAAGAAATAAGCACTTCAAAGCACAGAGGAGGCAAATACAGGTAAAGATATCACAAGGAAGGATATAAAACAAATCTAACTCCTCTATTTTAAAAAGACCTGAAAGAAATACTATGCAAGCAGTTAAACATCACATTAAACAACGGATTAAACTGCAAATTCAAGGTCTGCTGTCTACTGCACAATGACTGATGTTCTAGCTGTTGGTATTACACAACAGAAGTAAATTATTTCAGGCTAGGGATGCGAGTGTTCGGTTGGACTAGAAAATGTGACAGAAATACTACTAGTCTCATTCAGAAAAGGAAAAGAAGTACCTACGTCACCATTTTCTTGTCTAAGAAATACTGGTCCTTCTTGGCTCCAATGACTCTGCGAAGTGAGACTTCCTCTTTATCAATCTTAAGAAAACAAAAACCAGTAAATATACGTACCTACTGCAAGCAGCTGTAACTAATCCAGAATGTTTATGGCATTTTTTATCAGAAATGTCTCCAAGGCAGTTACTGTACTGAAGACTTACTCTAAGAATGAGATTACAAGAGACTGAAACAATAATCTATTTCCAAAGCAGTTTATTCAACTCACCGGTAACCTGTTGTCCGAATTGTCAAATATAATTTCCACAAATGCTGAAATAACACGAGGACCTGTACCTTCCTAAGATAAGAGATATTTTGGTTAGATAACTGCCACCTTTGAAAATATTTTAAGCTCATTCATCTCCCCTTTCTCCTGACAACCCCACCTTCCCTTTCCTTTCAAGGACTTGAGAGTCAAGATCATCTATGTAAGATTCAGTACAAAGATTTTTATTTCTGAAAATCTTGGCTACATATTCACTGGTGTGCATTATCAATACAATGTATTACTCTGTAATAAATTCCCTTTTGCCAATGGGAAACGAAAAATGTTTAAGGATGCTTTCAAAATAATTGGCTTAAAATATCCACAGCCCAGCAATTTAACATTTTTGTAAAAACACTCCAGTGCATTAGCTTATCCTTTAGTTTTGCTGCCATACACCTTCACTTACATGCAACAAAGCCAGTCTCTGCTCTGGGCGAAGATGACTAAACTCATCACTGAGGACAAACTGGATTGCTGTAATAAAATAGTAAAGAAACAGAAGACTTATTCTTTCCTTCAGGGAGATATGCAGCAGTTTCATTAACTCAAAACATATTGATTTACTATTGTATAATAGAGTCATGCTGTTGCTAAAATTTTACAGTATTTCTTCATTAAAAACCTTAGTCTGCTGGATCTTTACCACTCAGCCTGCTGTACACCAGGATTTCTCTGAACATATCATTGTTGCCACATTACTAGTTCACTGCATAATCACTAACAATGCTGCACAAGCAGAGATTTGTGAGCTTTCCTCTAGAAATACAGAGCACACAGGCTAGGCTAAAAATATTGCTACTACTTAACCTTTCACAATTTATGAACGCAACCATCACAAAGGCTACTAACACCTTTTTAACCAGCATCTCTGCTCCTCCATTAACGCTCCCACCCCACAAAATCCCCCTCATAACCGTGCGTTAAAAGACTGTATAAGCTGTGCCAAACTGCTATGGAGTAGAATTTAGCCACTAAGAATGTCTAAAACAACTGCAAATATCATCATTGTCTTTCACGGTGGGTGACTTTTAGAATCAGTTTCCTCCTGTAAATACTTCTTTTGGCCATTTTGAAGTTAGAAGGCTCTTAGTAAGAGAAACTGAATACTAGGGAAAAATCTGAAGTAACTATTAAACAAGTGCATTGAGATCTGCCTTTCAACAATCAACTAAATGTTGAGGAGGAACATTTGGTAAACCAACTTCTAGCAAAAACAAGCAAAGAAACCTGGTATCATCAGCATCCCGGTGCTAAAAAGAAATCCATGCTTACCATAAAAAAAGTTGCTTTTTCCAGATCCATTTCTTCCCACTGAAAATTAAACCAGAAAGCATAACCTCAAGTTGACATATGTTAGCAGTGCAATGTACATTAAATGCTGCATAAAAATATTCAAGAACAGAACCCAAATATAACACAGTCAAGCAAAATCTCAAGGGAATGAGGCACATTTGGTAGGTGGATCACTCAGTCATTGAGAACAAGAGAGCAGTCCTTTGCCCACGCAAACGTATTACAATGATTTACAAACTTCAACACCATTCCACAATGAAAATAATAGTTAAAGCAATCCTATTTATTCTCATCTTTTTGGTTTTTATACTGATCTTCTGGTGGGATAGGAACAGTAAACCTAAATCAAATTCTCCTGGCATATTTAAATGGAGCAAATCACTTGCCTGTACATTCAGGTTGACACCGAACTTCAAGTAGCATATTGTGCTGGTTTGGGCTGCGGCAGAGTTAACTTTCTTCACAGTGGCTGGTATGGGGCTGTGTTTTGGATTTGTGCTGAACACAAGGATGATAATATAGAGATACTTTTGTTATGGGCTTACAGAGCCAAGGCCTATTCTGCTTTTTGTACTGCCAGACTGGCAAGGAAGTCGAAAGGTTGGGAGGAAACACAGCTGGGACACCAAACTGACCAAAGGGATATTCCAGACCATGACATCATGCTCACTATATCAAGCTGGGGGGAAGGAGAAAGGGGGAAGTTTGGAGTGATGGCATTTGTCTTCCCAAGTAAGTGTTATGTGATGGGGCCCTGCTCTCCTGGAGATGCCTGAACACCTGTCTGACCATGGGAAGCAGTGAATGAATTACCTGTTTTGCTTTGCTTGTGTGCATGGCTTCTGCTTTTCCTATAAAACAGTCTTTATCTCAACCCATGAGTTTTATAGCTTTTATCCTTCCAATTCTCTCCCTGATCCTGCTGGTGGGGGAGCGAGTGAGCAACTGTGTGGTACTTGGTTGCTGGCTGGGGTTAAACCACAACACATCTGAACTTCCACTTGCTAATTCAGTAATATTTTGTTTTAAAAAGACTGGAAGAAGTACTACCTCTATTTCAAAAATAAAGGTGTAAGAACACAGCACTACACTACCATAATCTTAGTGTTTATTCCAACGTGTTTCAGCAAGGCCCAGTGTCTCCTCTTTAAGATCAGGACCTACTGTATTAGTTTAAAAACCGCTTGACTTCCAGCAGCAATGAGCATCCCAGGCCTTTCATCCCTTCACACCTACATGCCTTCCAGGTTCACCTCATCCCCAAAATTACCTGAGGATCACTATGAAGTCTTAAAAAAAAAGCAAAGTCTGATTTTTTTAGTGTACTTTAAAAACATCGATACCTGGATAAAGTTTTAGCTCCTGTGGAAGTAACGCTACAAAGTAAGACGTGCTATTCCTGTCGTGTGTGTTTTTTCTAAGACCAGAGTAAATCCCGCCTACTAAGATTTTACATCCAAAATTGACTGTTTGTTGTTGGGTCAGCAGTCTCAAAAGTTGCTGCACAATCACGAAAATCAATACACATGAAAAGGCAGGGCCAGGAGTCCATGGGCAAAACCAGCAAGATGCATGAGAATGGTGGACAACAACATGCTATTAGAGTAGGTGTTATTTATCAAACTGCACTTTAAACTTATACTTTTTGACAGCCCATATTCCAAATATTCATTCCTTTAAAGCTGGAAGAGGATCTTCTTTCCCTGTAGCAGATTAGAGTAGCTGGTGTGCTTATTTATAAAAAATGATCACACTTCCACAGAGGGAAGAAATAAAAATCCCAAGTGAGTTTATGGACCTCACTCAGTTTCTGAAGATTCAGATGTACAGCAAAATTGAACATTAGCATTAGTTTGCTGTAAGTGGAATACACCTTGTAGTATGTTACAAACTGTACAGAACTTTCTGAAACAGAAAATACAGTCATCAAATGTAGGCAAAATACTGAAAATTACAAAGGAGACTAATGTGAACAACATCTGAAATAACACTGCAACTTTAATCAGTGTGAAAAAACAAGTATTGGAACTTACCAATGACATTGTGTTTGGAGCTGAATGGGTCCACAATGGTTTGGTCCCTGTAGCTTCGAAAGCCCTGAATTATTACCTAGAGAGAAGAGTGAGTTATTTTAACCAAGTTCTCTGTTCTTGAACAGTCTTTGAACCGTAAGGTTTGACAGAATGTTTACATCAATTGTAATGTAACTGATTTTGCCTGCCCTTCCCGCACAAACTCAACTTTCCAGTTCAACATCGGAAACTTACATAATAAAACTGGCCCTTCGCCTAAGCATCACCTTAGGGACAGATTTCTCTCCCAGCAGGAGATGCTGTGTAGGTCAAAGCACAGCAAACAAGAGAGTCACGAGAATCTTCTTGCAACAAACTACACAAAAATATATATTTGTTTTAAGTATCATATACAGGAAAGAAAACTCAACATAGCAAGCGCTTATCCCAGCAGGCCCAAATTTATTCTTAACTTTTATAACGCAATCCACTTACACCTGAAGAATTCTATTTGCGAATTCTCTAAACAGTGCAATTGCAGGCCGGAAAAACTGTACTGAACTGCCTATTTCACATGCAATGCAGTCTTGTTTTACTGTGCAACCTAAGGGGAAACGTAAAAAAGCGGCTATCTCGGTTCTGGCAAATTCAATTCCCAAACAAATACAAACCTACACAGACAACTACAGGAGCTACTCATCTGGGAGCAGCATGTCAAATCTCAGCTACTCCATTTCAGCAGCAGTTGAGGTTTGCCAAGCCCAGTAGCACGCAAGGCAGAAAATGACAATATCCTCATACTTCAGCGCTGCATAGCAGCAAAACTGATCCAACTTCCAGCACCAAGTAATTTGTTCCATACATTAAAGCTGTGCTGGAAGACTACACAGCAGCTTTGCTCTGCTCAGCAAGACATCAGAAAGACAGCAGCCACCTGAAGGTTTGATGTTTGCAGATTTTTCAGCACCAACACTTACAAAAGGACTACAGTTGATATTTTATAGCAATGTTCTTCACCCAGCTCTTCCAACGAGACACAGTTAAAATAATGGCAAGCTCAGTGCCAGCAGCTTTCAAAGCAAAAGCAAGAACAGAAAAATCTTACTCAGGTCTTGCCACCAACTCAAGGCCACAGCAACTGTGTTCACTCATTTTGATTTTAAAAATTAAATAAAAAATATTTTTAAAAAACCCAAACATTTTGCAAATAATTCTGCTTCCCAAATCACCAGATTTCATGACAGGAAAAAAATCAAAAGAATAGGCAAAAAAATTTGGTGTCTACTGTCTTTACAGTTTACCTGTAATATTCTAAAAAAATCCAGATTGGAATAATTCATTTATTTTATTCCCATAAGAACCAGAAACTCTCTACAAAAAGATAAAAAACCATTATTATTTACTGGATATTGCTAGAGAAGCCAAACTTTTACCATCCACATCCTGGGGCAACATAGGAGTGCAATACAGGCAGACTGAACACCATCATCTTCCCCCAAAGTTTTTTCTCTGGATGGCTTAGCACTTCTTCCATCCTACATATTCTGAAGCTTCATGAGTTCTTTATTGCCTTGTATAGACTCGGATTAAGACTTAAATAACTTTAATGTTCAAACTCCAGGAATAATTTCTGGGAAGTAACAAAATAAGGGATACTGGTGGAACCAAATTACTTTTATTCTCACGTTCACACTTTGTTACACTCTATTCTATACCTTCTACAATAGTATTGGTTATTGAACACCCAAAGTTCCTCTTTTTTTCCCTCCAAATGAAACATTTCCCCTGTTCTGAGTTGATTTGGACTTTTTACTCTATATATCTTCACCACTGTTTACTTTTGTGCAATTCAAACCTTGAGAACAAGAACTCTTGTTCGAAAACTTTAAAGCAAGGTGCACACCTGTGGTAAGAATGACTGACAAAAGCACGAACAAAAGGCATTTTGAACACTGCCCGGTCAGCCAAAGAGTAGATGAAAACCTAATTTTTACTTAGAACATGCACTTTCTAACGTGATAAAGAATTCTTCTTAACAATGATATCTGCACGGTGTCAAAAAAAAAGGGTCAACTTTGAGTCCACCGGGAAATGAGAACCCCAGAAGGCTTTGTATGAACGTGCACAGGCAGTGGCACGAAAGCAGTGATAAAAATCGGTGCATACTACGCAATATACTGCTAAGCGGCTGCAGGGATATACTGCAGAAGTAACATTAATAATGACCTCAAAAACTGTTTGAAAAAGGTCCATACCAGGATATTCTTTTCAACTGAACGTCAACCTGGCAAGGGTGAAGTATAACAAGCAAAGTGGTCCATGCCCGGGGGTCTGAGGCATCACCCCAAAATAAAGAAGAGAACCCACAACTTGAACAGCTGCAAGGTGCCGTCTGACACCTGAGCAGAGCCCTTTGTTTGGGGACGAGCCCGTGGGCGGTCGGGACACCCGGGCTGCTGTACAAAGGGTCCCCGTCAACAAGTCCCGAGTCCCAGAGGGTCAGCCCCCAGCGCCGCTTCACATCTCCAATGAATGAAACCAGCCGCGGGAGCTGGGGCAGGGTAGGCATCGTCGGCCCACCCCGCGGTGGGACCCGGCCCGTGGTCCCCCCTGGACCGCGATCCTCCCCCCGGGGCAGGGACGGGCCAAGCAAAGGCCTCGGGGCCCGCCGCCAGCCCGCGGGCCCCTTCCTATGGGCCGGGTAGGTGCGAGACTGCGAACTCCCCACCCCGGGCGGGGCGGGCTGGGCCAAACCCCCTGCCAGGCCCAGGCCGCGCCGCACACGGCGGGCGGCTCCAGCCCCGCCGGCTCACCTGCTTGATGTACATGTTTGCCACTAATGGGGTGGGCGCGCGCCCCGCTGTCGCTCAGCCCGCCCTCGCCGTCTCCTCCCGGACCAAGCGTTCAGCCGGACCGCGGGTCTCCGCCGCCGCCGCCTCCCGCCCCCTCAGCCGCCGCGGGGCCCCCTCACAGCGCCCGCTCGGCCCTCACGCAAACAAAATGGCGGCGGAACCTCCCCGTCCCGTCCCGGCGCGAACCATTCCGCCCCACATGGAGGGGGAGTGCGGAGCAGAGGGCGCGGCCCTGCCCCGCCGGAGAAGCGACACCGCGAGGGACAGAGGGATATCCCCCTTTTTTGAGCCTTCAAAGTGCCTCGATGGTCTTTTGGAAGGTGCTCCGGAGCGGGGAAGGTCCTCAACGCTGCCCGTCCTGGCGGCAGTGGTCCCCCCTGGGAGTTGGGAAAAGTGGTTCGTCCCGTAGAGGGGCGGGTTGGGCGCCAAAGGCAAGTTGAGCGGAGCGGGGAGAGCGGAGGCGCGCGCGGGGGCGCGGCGGGAGCGCCGGCAGGGGGCGCTGTCGTGGGGAGCTCCGTGGCGCCCTGTGGGAGCGCTCACCCAGAACGCGAAATGTAGGCCTCATTTGGAGTCCTGTCTTTTATTCGAGGATATAAAACTAATTTTTAAAAATAATATTAATAAAAAGGGGCATTAGCAGCATTAGGGCCTGCGGCGGGGGATCCAGCGCGCCCCTCGCCCCAGCCATCTCCTCCGGGCCGGCCCCGTGGCTGTGCCGGGCTGGGAGCCCCCAGAGCTCCCCATCCACCGGGAAAACCCTGGGCAAAGGCAAACAGCTGCCCAGAGTGAGAGAGGCAAATAGGAATGCTACAAAATGCTCTCAGGAAGACAGGTTGGCTGGAGTCTCTGCCCACACCTTCATCTCGCAGAGCCACTGCTCAGCTGCCCGAAGGAGCCCTCAAAACCACAAAAATAAGAAAAATGGTGAAAGAGAAACATTCATTTTCTCCTGATCTCTTCCAGTTATGGTAATTTCAGGTGTTGTTGTGACAACGTCTCAGAGAAAATGAGATTTTCAATTTGACAGTGCTCCTTTAAAACTGCAGCTGTCGCCAACACTTACAGACACATGAGAGAATTCCTCCACTGATCCTCTTAATACTAATAAAAATTAGATTTAAACTGAAAGGTCTAGTTTCTACCTCCCCTAGAATAATAGATGGATGAATTACTTTTCTTCCCTAATGGGAAAATCTGCTCAGTTTCAGATATTCTTAACTACCGTGTAATTAAATGGTTTTACTAACAGCCCTTCAAGAGGCTATTGTAACACGCTTTACCAGCACCTTTAAAAAAACAGTCTATTGTTTCTTCAGAAAACACAGGGCTTAAAAAACTAATGCATTTAACGGTTGCTCCGCAAATTCAGAGAGAAAATTTTCTGCCTGTCTTGCTTTGCTTTTAAATAGCTCCGTTCAATGGGCATGGGCAAAAAATATTTTCTCTATTTCCACTTTCAAAATCCCTTTCATCTTAGGATTTCAGGGAATTTTAAATTCTTAAATGAGTCTCACAACGTCTTTCTGGGATTGGTTTGTGATACTAAATTTACTCTTCACTTTTTCTGGGGCGAAGTGACATGATGCCAGTAGTTTGGGTTTCAGGTGTCTGGCCATCCAAGGGGGCTCATTGGCAGGGGGGAGAAGAGACTTTAAGAAAAGAAAGAAAAGTAAAATTCCCCACTTTTCCTTACAACGCAATTAACTAATCATGTACCTCGTTAAAAGAATTATTTACATCCATTTTTGTGTTAATATTTGCATATAAACAAATTGCACAGATTTGTACACTCTAAACAAACTTGGAATTTTCAAAACCACCTGAAGCACTCAGGTGGGAGAAAATAGAAATATGTTTTATGCATTTGAGACTGTTGGCACCGCACAGTGGGCAGCACATTCCGACCTCTGCTGAAACACAGCAGCGAGGAGTTTGTCCTAACAACAGCTGGGATATCTCCTCACTAACAGTCTTCTCCTCCTGCTGAAGACACGGGCAGAAGGAACCATCCCCGTTTCTCAGGACAGTAATAGGCGTAAAGATGTTCTTAAATCGGCAGGTTCTAAAGCTCATTCCTCTTTGTGTTATGCTTTTAGAGGTCCAGGTTCCCTTGAGTCATGTTTTTGAGATTTCCTTCTGTAGTTTAGAAGCTTATTTTCACTTAAACTTCAAACAAGGATTCTCTTCATCCTCTAAAGATGGGTTTCAGAGAAACCAGATGAGGAAACATATGCCTTTTCTCTTGACTGCTGCAGTGAAATTCTTGTGCCTGGGTGCAGTGAGTCCTCTTGAATACCCTGTCTCAAGTCAAATAACCCACATCTGGTGCTCCAGACAGCTTGCTGTTGTTGAGGTGTACCAAGATGTGCATCACTCTGTATTATGAACAGGCACAAATAAGGACTTGGGATCTCTTTTATCCCCAGGTGTTCATCCTCTCTTGAGGACTTTGCATATACAGCATACTCCTGGGGTTTGGAGAGGGCTTATGTGTGCATATAAATGAGCACAGACACCAGGTTATATTTATTTATAGGAATAAAATCATATCTCACTGATATTTCATCATCAAACACTCTTACCAGTGTGATGTGCTTGCAAAAATAGCTACTGTATTCATTAAGGATTAAGTGGCAAATGATTGTCTAGTTCAAAGAGTGTTTCGAGTAGGGCCCCTGCACACAGGTTTTGTCACATAGTTTTTAAAGATTTATACTTGAGGGAGTGGAGTGGTGGGGTAGGTATTGTATTTTTCTTATCCTTTTGTTTTTGTAGTACACGCTGAAAATATGCACCCACCCCAAGGGTGATGCAAGTAATTTTTATTCTGTCAAGCTGCTGTGGCCGTAGGAGTGCAGAAAGCTGGAAGCCTGTAAAACAGCACCCTTCATTCAGAACCTGCAAACATATAATCAGTGCTTGCTGCGTGAAATTCACCTCAGTAGGTGCTGCAGAGATTTTTTTCTATGGCCCTGCTTTCTAAGCAGTGTTTTTGTATAAATATGCTAGAATTAAACATTAGCATTAGAAAGGAGACAGTGGGAACACTGCTTTAATTCATCTGGGCTTCATCAGCATAAAAATACGTCAGGCATTTCTTTCATGAAATTTAATGGGAATGTATAGGTGGGGTTTCAATTCTGTAGAATTTTTTTCTCTCTTCTCAAATAGTAAAATTTCTCTCTGAAAAAAATGTTAAACCTATGTGGGGAGGGAAAAAACATTTTAAGTATTATTAACCTCTTCTATTACCACTTTCATTTGTGAACCGTGTATAGACTGCTCTCTTTCATGAATGGCTGCAATCACTGAGGTATTTACTGCCTTTTTAAAATGACTGTAGAAATCAGTAGGCTCACTGCAATATCAATCACTTATTCTCAGTCACTTGAAGCCATTGTGAGAGGCAGAACTGCTGGGGCCAGTTCTCCTTAATGCTGGTGTTGCAGCAGGATCTCAGGAGCAAACCAGGGAACTGGGATTTTGATTGACACTTTGGTCAGACCCTGCAGAAACTGGTGTTCAATGGCACTTGGAACTCACAAACAGATATTCCGATATTCTGCTTTCAGGTTAGGAAACAAAGGCAGTGAGAAGGTATCTTGCCAAGCTCAAGCAGGGTTACTGTGGGACAGCCAATGCCTCTCCTCCTAAACCACCCCTACCAAGCCTGAATCCTAAGGCAGCAAGGCAATAATGCATCTTTCTCTCACCTTTGAATTCAATGGAGATTCTAACAGGTGAAGTGAGAGAAACCAGTGCTTTCTTTACAGATCCTGGCATGTGCATCCATCTCAATGCACTCAACCCACCAGGCTTTTGAGGAACAAAGAACACTTACTCTGAAACAAATGCAAGCCAACCACACGTGGATTTCCTTTCCAACAGGTTTTTTTTTCTCTTGAACAAAGTTACTGAGCTCTTTTGCTCTCAAACCCCGTAGTCACTCCTGTGCCTTGCAATGCACAGTGTGACCCCTCACCAGAACCTGGAGAAGTGTCTGTGACTTTGCCAGAGAGCAACTGCCTGTCAGAAAACTTAGAAGAGGGAGCCCTAAGCCTGCAAGACCCTTAGAAATCTGTTTGATAAGGGGTGGATGTAATTACAGATTCAGATGCTGTAGATGTGCAGCCTTGGTCAGTGATGTCTGTGTTGCCACGGTGGATACCTGTTCCCACCACCCACAGACCCCTTTCTTGCTGTTTTTTGTCTCTGGTGCCCATGTTGTAGCAGGCAGTGGATACCCCCTCCCCGAGAGGGTGTTGGCTGTAAGGGGCAATGGGCTGTGAGGCATCTATATACATGTATACAAAGGACAAATGTGCAATGGGTGGTAATGATGGCACTTGCTCCTTCGATTTGGGAGCAGTCCGGTGTTCCTGGTCCCAGCTGCATGAGGCAGCAGGCAGGAGGCAGCCATGTGCCTCAGCTGCCCAGCACCGTGTGCAGATCATTAGCTCTTCTCCAGCTGCCATGGGTTTTATAAACTGCTGAGGGTGGAAGGGCAGTATCCTGGCAGGCTCCAGGAGACCTGCCAAGCTCTCCTGTTATTTCCTCACGGTGGGTGCTCTGCAGAGCATGAAAAGCACTGGAGTCTTTATTTTGCTTTTTCTTTTCTGACTCAGTTTCTATTCACTTTAAACAAATAAAAACAGTCAGGCAGCTTCTTTACAAAAATAAAATAAAAAAAAATTTCTCTTGATCGTTACGATCCTTTGAATGTGTAAAGGTAAATAATTATTGTTGACTGTTAAGCATTCATCCACAAACCCATTAATCCAACAACATTTTAAGAAAACTAACATGCTTGTCAAGCATGTCAAGAAGAGAATGGCAGGGTAAAACATCAGTGTAAAATGAGCAACAGAAGAAGTTTTGTTCTAAGAGCCATGTATTTTATTATGAATGAATCTGCTGCAGGTTTACTAAAGGAAACCAGTTGTTATGCTCATCATCTTTCAGACAAGCCTCTCTGTGAATAAAATGTGGCTGTGGTTGAATTAATTTCGCTTGCTTTGCTAATTCCATAAGTCAGACCATTGTGTACAGACCAAACGAACCCCACACGCGGTGCCGCGCTGGGGCTGTGCCGGGAGCTCTGCCGGCAGGC